AGGATTCGAAGTGGGTGAAAGCAATGAACGAAGAAGTGAAGTCTATCAAAGACAACAACACTTGGTCACTTATCGAATTGCCTCAAGCCAAGAAGGCAATTGATGTCAAGTGGGTATACAAAGTGAAAACGAATTCGAAAGGGGGAGTAACTCGACACAAAACAAGGCTTGTGGCGAAAGGATTTCTACAGAAAGAAGGAATAGACTTCGATGAAGTTTTTGCACCTAATGCTAGGATCAAAACAATCAGGTTGGTTGTTGGTCTAGCAGAAATAAACAGTTGGCACATATATCAGATGGACGTGAAGTGTGCATTCCTAAGTGGACCCTTAGATGAAGAAGTCTATGTTAAAAAACCAGTTGGGTTTGTGAAACATGATGAAGAAAGAAAGGTGTACAGGCTGCATAAAGCCCTATATGGATTGAAGCAAGCTCCAAGGGCTTGGAATAAGAAAATTGAATGTTTCCTAAGGGAGAAGGAATTTGTGAAGTGCACAATTGAACATGGAGTATATGTAATAAGAAGCAAGAGTAAATTGCTTATACTATGTCTCTATTAGATGATTTGTTGATAATAGGTAGCTGCAAGAGTGAGATCGAAGACTTCAAAGGTGATCTCAGCAAGGAATTCAAAATGTCTGACTTAGGTGAGATTTCATATTTCCTTGGTATCGAATTCTACAAGAGCAGTAGAGGTTTTATGATGCATCAAAGAAGATATGCAGGAGAAATTCTCAAGAGATTTGAGATGGAAGAATGTAACCCAACTTCGACACCTGCAGAACCAAGACTACAACTGTCGAAAGATGCAGATGAAGATGATGTTGATCCAACCCAATACGAAAGACTTATTGGATCATTGAGATACCTTTGTCATACAAGGCCTGACTTAACATATAGTGTAGGTGTGGTAAGTAGATTCATGCAGAAGCCAAAGGTATCACATCTAGCAGCATTGAAGAGGATAATAAGGTATCTCAAAGGAACTTTCAATTATGGCATTTTGTTTCCTGCAGTTGATAAAGGAAAAGAAAGTAAGTCTGTGGGATACACTGATTCGAGTTGGTGTAGTGATGTTGAAGATCGAAAGTCAACAGCGGGATATGTGTTTATGCTAGGTGGTGCACCAGTTGCTTGGAATTCAAGAAAGGAACCATTAGTGGCATTATCATCATGCGAAGCAGAATACATAGTTGCTTCTCTTTGTGCATGTCAAGCAACTTGGATGGTGAACTTGGTCGAAGAGATAACAGGGAAAAATCATGGAGCAATTACCATGAAGATAGACAGCATGTCATCTATTAATCTGGTGAAGAACCCAATAGCACATGGTCGAAGTAAGCACATCGAAATGAGGTTTCATTATCTTCGAGAGTAGGTAGCAGATGAGAAGATGAATTTGGAATACTGCAGAACTGAGAATCATATTGCAGACATCATGACGAAGGGAGTGCAAGTCGAAGTACTCAGAAGACTAAGAGTCATGATGAACATAGATAATTTAGACACAATGAATTAGGTAGTGTGTTAAATTATAATTCAGTGTGTCAAAACTATGTGTCGAAAAGATTTGATTTGTTTTAGATTTAAATAGATTTGATTTAAGTCTAGAATAACTTAGATTTGATTTAGTAACAAAAAGATATTTTTGAATTTGGGCTTAGGGTGTAAGCTCGGTTATAAATAGAGGGAGTAACCCCTTATTTTTGTAAGCAAGTCAAGCAAGCTATTCACAGTATTTTGCAGTTGCAAAGTGAATAATAAAGTTTTCACAGTTTGTGAGCAGATAGAAACTCTGCAGAAATTATTTGTCTTGTCTTATTTTCTTTATTTGTCTCATAATTAAATTATCATTATGGTAGAAATTCATCATAGAATTTGGTGGATTTCCAACACATCTCATGTCAGCTACCTTACAATTATATATCACAATCAAAGAAATGTCTTTTATTCCTAAAAGGATCATCGACGACCTCTCTTTAACAAAACACCTCAAGGATTAGGATGATGAGAAGATTAAGAAAATGTCTTACAATTTGAAGGCGACTAATATACTTACTTATGTTTTAAGTGTTAATGTATAATTCTCTATATCACATTGTAAGAATGCTAAATCAATGTGAGATACGTTTCAAGTTCTCCATAATGGAACTGGAGACGTTAATCAATCTAAGATTAATAATTTGGCGGAAGAGTATGAACACTTTCGCATGGAGCCTATAGAATCCATTGTCTCTATGAAAATGTGACCCTCTCACATAGTTAACGAACTAGTAAATGTGGGTAAGACTACTTCTAACAAAGATTTCGCTAATAAAATTCTAAGATCTATGTGTAGAGAATGACAACTAAAAGTAACCGCCAATAAAGAATCTCAAGACCTAAAAACGCTTAATATGTCAACTTTTTTCGGCAAGTTCACTAAGCACGATCACGAGTTGAAGAGACTAGAAGCAAGTGAAGGAAATGCCAAGAGGAAATACAAGAGCTAGGAAGAGAAAAAAGTCATACCCCCGAAGAACTCTACTTCTAAGGCCAAAATTAAGGATGATGACGAAGACACTCGTAAAAACTTTTTAAAGGATGAAAATATGAGATTATTTGTTAGACGATACAACCGATTAATGAGAAAAAAAATGGTCTTCAACGTTCTGATAAGAATCTAGTAAAATTCATAAAGTCAAATTCACCAAGAAAATAGGATGACAATAAGAAAGAAGAAAAGAAAATAATACATTTTAAGTGTAAGAAACCTAAACACATTAAAATTCTGTTTGACAAGATACTTTTTGAGTTTATAGCTTATAAGCTCATATGACAATAAACGACATGTTTGGTAACAATTTTTTCCTCACGAGCTTATAGTTTATTTATTACCTTATAACTTATTTTTCATACGCTATTTCAAATAGCGTTTTAACTTATAGCTTGTCTTTTTTTTTCTTTCTATTTTTATTATTATTTTATCTAAAACCCACTATTATCATTTATAATTTATTTTAATTTAAAATAAAACAGTTATATACTAAATATCCTTTATGTCATCTTAATTTATCAACTAATCGATCTGATAATTTTATTAAACACTTCAATTAACTTATAAGTTATAAGTCGTCAGCCATCAACTATAAGTTATTAATCATTAACCATTAATCATAAACTATAAGCTATAAACTATTAGCTAACTTATCACTCAGCTGCTAATTTTTACCAAACAGAACCTAAAACAAATTGTCCAAGTCTAGTAAAGCATAAAAACAAACAATCGTTCTACAAGACTAAAGACAAAACTACCAAAGATTGTAGAGCATACATAGCTTAGAAAGATGATGAAGACTCGTCATCTTCTGACAACAACTCTGATGAGGATGAAATCATTTGTCGGTGTTTAGTAGTGAGACACAAAGACAAAGCCACAGAGGTAAGTGGCTCCAATTCCTAATATATACCTTCTTGAAATCTGAAAATAACGTTCATTTGTGGCACTCATCTTTGATAGTTTCACCTTTGAAAACCAGAAGATTGGCTGGAAATTGTGTTAAGGTTGTTAATCTGTTTGTCATTAGATTCTCTCTGAATCACAAACAAGCTCTTGATATCAATTTGTTGGAACAAAAGATTCAAGAAAGATGAATATTGTGAAAAACAAGAAGAAGAAGAAGACAAGAGAGAGAGAGAGAGATTGCTGAGTTAGTTAGTGTAACTAACTTTTAAACTGAAACTGTTATTATTGTTATTGCAGTTATGTGGATTACAAAGTAATGACCATTTATATAAACAACATGCCCATACCCAAATACAAGCTAAAGCCCAAATAACAACTAACAAGAATTAACCAACTAACAGATTTGTCCACTATTTTAGATCCTCGTTTAACATCATTTATCCATGCTAAGTCCATTGTTTTTTATATCTATAGTAAGGAGGATAGGAAGGTTTCAGGTAGAGTGGCGGTAATGATTGATGTGATATGGAGAAATAGAAATGACAAGGTGTGGAATGATGAGCAGGAGGAAGCATTGAAACTCAGTATGGTTGCGGTTTGTAACTGGCAAGATTGGTTTGCAGCTCAACAAGTTTTGAATAATGATAATACACAAAACCAACCGTTGACTTGACAATCGCTGATTGTTGGGTGGTTCAAATGCAATATTGATGTCGATTTTAATGCTTGGATAGGTACCACTAATAGGGGCTGGTGTGTGCGAGATCACTTTAGCTGCTTTATAATTACAAGCACAACATGGGACTTCGGTACTGTTTCTGTCATTAAAGCTGAAGCCATGGCCCTTAAAGCAGTAGTTAAGGGACCTATAACTTTGAATATTCAAAATGTTATTTTTGAAATTGATTCTCATCAGGTGATTCAAGTTCTCCGGTCCAAGTATAGAGAGATAACTCTGAGTTTAGTTTACTTATTATTTCCTTATAGCAATTGTTACAGTGTTATCCTAGCTTTGAGGTTGAATTTTTAAAACGCCATGTATTGAACTTCAGTCAATTAATTATATGAATTAAGTTTGTTGTTGTAAAAAAAAAAAGGAATAACATTTACTTTTTATTGATAAAAAACGTGACTTTCTTATATAAAAAATTAATTAATTTCAGTTACAAGTTTTGACCTTTAATTATTTTTAAAATATTTAAAATAAATGAAAGATTAAATTTATAATAAAAAAAGTAAGACTGCACCAAGTAGTTTTCCTATATTGTTATAGATTATGAGCAAAATATGTTTAACAAATGATGATTTTTTATAACAAATAATCTCTTTAAAAAGCATTATAAAAATTAAAAATTAAAAATTAAAAATTCATCTTTGCTTAGAAAAAAAACAGCCACTCGGCAATATATATGGGTTGTTATTATTTGATTGCGACAATTCAAAATTCAAAGTTTGAAAGCATTATAAAAATTCAAAATTTACATTTATTTAAATAGAACCCTAATTTACATTATTGAAATAGAACCCTAATTTTGAAAGAGAAAGAAGAAAAACGATGTCAGGTACTACTCTCACTCCCAACGTTGATGAAGGCTTGAAATCCAACCCCACCGTGCACATCAAATTGAAGAAGGTTTGTTTTATCGGTTAGGTTTTATAGTATTGAATGTATGTTATTAGCTTCTTATCTGGTTTCTATATATTTTCAGGTTGAAATGTTTGATGACATTAGTGAATTGCCTGACTGTATCATATCTTACATCTTCACAAAGTTAACCATCAAAGATTTGTTGAAAACTAGTATACTCTCTAAAAAGTGGTGCAAACTTTGGACTTTAAGGAGAGAGCTTTACTTTGATATCTTCAATGTCTTTGAATATACCGAACAACAACTACTACAAAAGGGGTATCTTATTGATGTCACTGTCCATAGTACTTATAGTTCTACCGTGGAGAGAATGCTCAATTTGGATATTAGTAGAGATCCATTTGTAAAACGAGTTGATCAATTTCTCAAGCATTCTCATGCCACAATTATTGATTCTTTCTTGGTCAACTTCTATTTAGATTCTCAACAACAAAGCATCATTGATGAATGGATACGTTTTGTAATTGCAAGAGGAATTGGAAGAATGGAATTACTCTTTTGTGGAAGCCCTTACACACCTCGCAACCTGCCTCGCAAACCTTATAAATTTCCCTTCCATTTATTTCCAGAGACTAATGCTTCAACTCTAAAGCATTTGCGTCTTGAATATTGTCTTGTTTCCATTCCCCCCAACTGCAATTTTATTCCATTCAAAAATTTGAGTTTCCTTTCACTTAAAAGGGTAAAAGTGGATGGAGTTTTTATTCATAGTTTAACACAACTTGAAGAGCTTCACTTAATTCAATGTGAGCTCAAATCATTAACACTAAAGATAGTGAGTTCTTCCTTACGTCATCTCAAAGTTTCATTATGCTATCTCCTATACGGCAACTTCCAAAAGGATGTAAACCTGATTTCACTAGATTGCCTTAAACTAATTTCATTCGACTACGATGGACATTGTTCGGCTAACACGAACTTTAATACGCCTATGTTGAACAACATTCAGCTCTCTGTTATGTGTAGTGAACAACGTCTTAATGCATTCAGACTCTTGGCAACTCTTCCTAAACTTGAGATTCTGCAATTAGATCTTTATTCAATGGTTAGTCATACAATGTTTAACTTTCTTTCTCGTTTGAATTATATTTTTATGAATCTTACATTTTTTTATTTAGGTACCAACTTCCCTAAAAATAACTCACCTACTCGAACATCTCAAGGAGTTGAACTTGATTTTTATCTGGCCACTCCGCAACCCACGAAAATTAGAGTTTGATCTTTCAGGGATCTTAACCATCCTACAAGCTTCTCCACTTTTACAAAAACTTTCAGTCATGGTGAGTGAACATGGTTAATAATAATACACATGATTTAGATGTTTTGATTTGTATTCATTAGTATAAACTTTGATTTTACTTTTTACAGCTCACATATCCTGAGATTATTGAAGATCAAAAAGTTGTTAGGGATGTTGATGCGTTCTCTCATGAGGAGGTCAAAGTTATTGAATTGAGAGGTTGTGTTGGCAATTGGTATGAAATTGAGTTTGCTATGAATGTTATCAAATATGCCAACAAACTTGAGCGAATAGTTTTGAGTCCATATTGGAGAGATATTGTTGAATCCTTGGACTGGAGTTCTGATCTTGCATGGTTTCAAAATGGGCGTCAAAGGATTACTGAAAAGTTTCAAACTGAAGAACTAGTTGGAAGAGAAAAACTAGTGCTCATATAAGACTGCGTAGTTCTCTTTTTCTTTCTGTTTTACTTTAATGATTTATATTAATAACAAAGTTTTTCTTTCTGTTTTAATTTTATTAGGATGTTTAATAATATATATTTGTTTATTTTCTTAATTTAAATTTAATATACGGTTTAATCGGTTGAATTAATTGAACTTTAACATGCATGTTTTAACGATTTTTTTTTTCGGTTTGATTTTTAAAACATAAAATTAGTATTTATGTTACCGATTGTATCACAATATAATAAGTATTTAGAAATTATTAGACAATGTTAAACTTGATTAACAAAACTAATAATTAAAAAAAGTAAAATATATTAGTGGAGTTATATGATTAACAATCTCAGTGTTTATTGAATTATAATGTTATGCATTTGATTCCTTGCTTACATCATCTTGACAATTATGTATTCGTAAATCGTATTTCAAGCATTTTTATTTACTTACCTACTTTATGCATTGCGTGAAGTTGATCAAAATTCAATCAAAATAAAATTTTAATTCCACAGGAAGACTGATAAAAGCGATTCGACATTACACTTAAAATTAACAGGTAAAATATTTCGAGTTTTGACATGTACCCGACTATTTTATGAAACTACGTTTCACGTAGGTTATGTCGGTATGCTCATTTTATTTTTTAACTTAGTTTACCGTCACATTTTGATGAGTCAGAGCATGTTTAACCGGATATTTTTATTTGTGAGTTTGATCATTTCCAATCTATTTTATTAAACTTTATAGCATCTAGATCATTCTGGTATGTTCGTTTCTATTTTTTTTACTTAGCACGCGTCAAATTTTATTCATTTTCAATTCATTGCGAACTCCCTTTTCTTATTCAAAAAAATTAAAGAAAATATTTTAGTAATCGGGTTATTTTCTTCTTTCAATTTTTTAATTTAATTGGTTTCTTGGTAAAAGTTACAATGGGTAGGGATTAAGTGATAAGTTGTAAACTGAGACTATTCAGACTTAGAATTAATACTAGATAGTAGATTTCTAAAAGTTCTGAAGTATTGAGCTCTAAAGATTTGACTAATTTTGGTAAAATAAGATGTTGAACATGATGTTAAAATATATGAAGAACAACATGGAGAACAATATATCCTACCATAAAGACTCGACATCTTGGACTGCCATTTCGGTAAATCTATTCCAAGATTTAAGGAGCGCTTTAGCAGTGGATCAAGGAATATTTTAACAGAAGATTTTGAATGCTTTTAAGAAAATATCTTGCCAAAAGAAAACATTTTTAAAATTAGAGGGTGAAAATCTTAAAATTCAAAGGAGCTCAAAAATCTGTAAAAGAGGACCATGTATCTCTTGTGAACTAAATGAGTGTAAAATTTATCCAAATTTAAAAATTGAACTTAATAACTCAAAACATTCATACACTTAGAAACTGCTAATGATAAAATTATTATAAATTTAGAGCGTAAAAGGCACAATTGAACGTCGTATCACACTTTTCTTAGATGTAACTCGAGTCTTGAAACTATATTTGCATATATTTTGCAAAGTTGTGGAACGTCCGATGAATTCTAGAACAATATGATTAAACAGTTTATTGGAGTCGGTTCTTCATTTTTTGTATGTATCCTTTTATTGGATTGAAATCTCTCATATTGATATTGAAAGTGTTCTACAGAAGTTCACTTTGATTAAAGTGTTACAATATGGCATTCTTAGAAGGATAAAAATCAATTAGTTTTTTCAAACAATTTACACTTGTGCAATAATTTTTGGACCAAAGTTCAACATCAAGTTCATATTACTTACATGAGATGCTTAGATCTCTTGAGTTTTGGAAAAATATGCCCAAAGTAAAGAATTTAGGCTCTAGCCCTTTTAAGCTCAACGTTGATGTTTTTTATCACAAAACTCAAAATTCATTAATTATAGATGAAATTGTGCTAGCGGTTTTATGGCAACATTGGTGCAGAGCCAGATAGTAGTATTCTTCTAGTAGTATTCTTCTAGCCAGATAGTATTTCTCCTATACTACCCTTGCACAGTTAAGACATAAAGGATTAAAGATCCAAGAGATTACTAACATTGTGACCACTGATCCAAAAGATTACAAATGTATATAGAAAACTTAAAGGAAAATTAATTAAAGCAATTGCACTTAACAGAATTATTCTAAAAAACTAAAGATGGTTTCTTTCCCCAAGTTTCTCTACATTCATTCTTCCTCAGTTAATTTCCCATGCAAGTACAGACTTTATGCACCTGTAAAATAAATAATACACACAAACAAGAAAATGTTAGAAACTGAAATTATCAGTCCATCCATAATAATTTAGATTACATACACTCACTTTCTTTCATTTTTGAAGCTCTGCATTACTTTCACTTTTGGGTTTTGTGGTAGCCTTGAGATCGACTACACATTGTACTCTTCTCTGTAGATATCTTCACTTTTTCTATTCGGAAAAGAAAAAAAGTGTACTTAATATCAATTTATAGTTGATTAAGATTAAGAACACAATCAATATTGCAATTTCCTTCTAAGTTTTGACCAGAAATAAAGAGGCGTAAAAATGTTCAATGGAGTTAGAATTTTTTCTTTCATTTAATAACATTAGTTAATTCCCAAACCTGCATTATCATTGTCGCTGTCTTGTCCATTTTGTTCGACAGTACTTGGTACTCCTATATGATTAATCCCTTCCCATTCTACATTCGGTGGTAAGATCTGTTGGCATTCATTTTGGAACAAATATAAAAAGGATATTATTCATCACATAAACTCCGGACTAACGCCTAGCAATACTATTTTATCATCATAAGATGCAAAGGACTTAAAACTACTCAGAACTGTAATGTTCATTAGTCATATTTGTTTGCTGCTGCGTCATTCAAGATGTAACAAAAATATGGAAATACCTCTTTCATATCAATCCAATCGCAAAACTCATTTGGAGTATTAGCATTATAGGCCACTTTATACATGTCCTGCAATCAATAAAATTCAGATTTCAACCACATTTTAAAAACTGTCACAAAAGATTTTAATTAAGAGTATAGACATAAAAAACACAGCTCATCTAAATTGGCACTAAAATAATTAATGTTGCATATTTGTAACCTATACATTATAAAAACCCTAGAGTATATCAATATGATTAAGGCTCTTAAGTATAAACTTGGAGATAAAATAACCTTGGCAGGGTCATATTCAATTATGTCACCCTCAATGAAAGGGCCGCCAGGGGACCATCTAGTATAAACTTGCTTCCCAATCAATGGATCCAAAGACGCTGCTGAAGATAAACCGGACAATGATAAACCCTGGAACCAAAATTGGTAACAGGAAAAAAAAATCAACATCATCAGTACATGTTTCTCCTTAGCATTTCTCCAATATAAAGAATTCTAAATCATCTGTTAGCAATTACATACAATTGACGCCACATTTGATCGTAATTCTTTACAATATAAGGAATCGCGGCACATTGCAACCGCGACTGCAACGCTATTTAATACTACAATGTAGTATATATGATCACATTCACAAGACAGTGTTGATTACCTTTGGGGAAGACATCGAATTTCGGGTGAAAACAAGGAAAGCTCGGCGGCAGACGGCGGTGCAATAGAGTAGAGGAGGCTCGGCGAGAGAACAATGAATGCTAAAGCACAAACAGATCGTGTGAATATTTATATAAACCTATTCCAGTATACACTGATTTTTTAGGTACGGTAAAACATGTTAGAGTTTTATTGAATGACATTGAGGTGGCATATAATAGCCTTACAGGATATGAAAGAACGATTCAACTCACGTCTAAAAACTTGGTAACAGTTACAATTAAAACATATATTCTAACTAATGGAACCTAAAAACTAGGAACTTATTAACTGAACCCAAATAATAACAACATATAAAAAAATAAATCCCAACAATATCTCCCCTAAACCGATTGTCGGAGGCATTCAGTTTAAACTTGATACTTCACCAACTCCGAGCTGAATATAATAAATGAACTAAAATATTTGAAAGAGAGAAGTTATAGGTGGTTAGTTATTATTCTCATGGGAATAAAAAATTCATACTTTATAACATGAAAATAGAAAGTGATAAAATCATATGTATAATAAATTTCTGAAAATAAAAAGTTCCAAGGCATATTTTCTTAAAACTTGAAATAAATATTGGAATGAAAAATATTCCCACCTATATTTTGAGAATAAATTTATAATCCAAGAAATAAACACCCCCTTAATTTTTGGAACACATCAAGTTTTAATAGTTTGGTCACAATATCGGCTACTTAATTGTTTGTGTTACAATCAATATTTTAAAAATCGGATCGAACCGACCGGTTCAATTGGTTGGATCGATTACCGGAGATAAATTCGGTTGAGTCAACTTTTAAAAATCGCTAGTGAGTCAAAATCGAAGTAAAATTTGAAAAACTAGATTAAACCATTCAAAACAAATCAAACCAAAGAAACGGAGCCGGTTTTACAAAACTGCCCGATTCAAAAAATGCATCGAATTGGTTATTTTTTAATTTTTATTTATTTAAATTTAATATATCAATATCAAAACTTAAAATATTGTATTATTTATTTTCTATATTTCATCTTATTTAACTCAGATATTTTTTATTATTTGAACTTTATTTTAGTTATTATATTTTATTATTTTAATTTGAATTTAAATTAATTTAATTTATTCAAATTATTTTTAAATGAAGGTTGAAATGAAGTGTATAACTATATTGTGTTATTATATATACTATCAATATTGTTATATTAAGTTTGTAATGAATTTTTGAAATATTTATTTTATCAAGTTTTGAATATATGATTATGTGTGATATATCTATGAAATTTAATTTCATATTATTAGTTTATTTAATAAATGGTTCGACCGTAGGTTTAATCGGTTAAATCAATTGAACCATAAATCAGAAGTTTTACTGGTTCAATTTTCTATTCGGTTTTTAAAATATTAGTTACAAAGGATCAACTTCACCACTTCTTCCTTAATGAGATCCTTCAAGAAATAGAACCTTACATCTATATGCTTGCTTCTACCATGCATGACTAGATTTTTTTGACAATTTAATTGTTGAATTATTGTCACACATAATAAGAATATTCTTCCTTATGAGGAGACTGCAGGGACGGATCCACTTTGTGGTTGGGTGTGGCTATAGCCACACCAATTTTTTTGTGTCATATATATTATTTATTAAAATATATTAATTATGACTGTTAATTTAAGAAAATTGTGGTCGCTTTAGCCACCACAATTAACGAAAACATTGTTTTTAAACACGCCATAAATTTGGCTGCCTTTAGGAAAATTGTTACATGTGCTAAGACTCATAAAGGTGTTAGTTGTTTTTTTTTAAGATCAATATGCTTATTAATTTTGTGTGATCTTCTAACAAGAGACATGAATTGTTTCGAGAAAAACAAGTAACTCAGTTTGGAGACCGGTAGTGGATTAAATCAAGAATCATATGTGGCTATAACAGGTGAAACTCATATGGGTTCCCACTTTAGCACTCTCATTAATTCAATGACTTTGTATGATGTCGTTATTGGTGCACTTTAAGAAGTTGAGAAGGACACATCATTTTTTTAAAAATTGTGAAAGTGTGCTTTTACTAGATGCGTTTCAATCCTTTGATTTTATTTCCATACGATCTTTTGAATATTTTGTCACTTGTCAATGATACCAAACAAGAATTACAAGAAATAAGGAATGATGGATGAGAAGAAGTTATATCTAAGGTTATAGAAATTTGCAGTAAGCATGATATTGATGCACCATATATGCAATGGAAGAAACCTAGGAGACACGTTACAAATTCTAGTGTTTCTAATTTACATCATTATAATCATGATTGTTTTCCCGTCGATGATCTCCTCTCTCGCGCCTGCCTGTCGAGGATCTCCTCCTCTACCTGCCCGTCAAGGATCTCCTCCTCCACCTTCCCGTCAAGGATATCCTCCTCCACCTTCCCATCGAAGACATCTCCTCCACAGTCCGGACAAGGATATGTGCCCAACGTTCCTCCGAATATCACAGAGTCATCCAGCCCCTCAAAGAACGAGTCTTTCACCCTCCGGGAATCATGAGGCAATTGAACCAGGATAGAGACCACGAACTGGTCTCCTCTATCCACGTAGGATCCTGGCAGTCTCCTTTTTGGGCTTGGGCATCCGACCCAAAATGGGGACCTTGGCCCAGCACCGGGGGCTATAAATACCCTCATTCACTAGAGGGTCAGGTATTCAATTGTACTCACTTACACTATGTGCTTGCCATTTTTACTTTGAACCTTACTTTGGCATCAGGGTATCTTGCAGGTATACCCCTATTCACTTTAACAACCACAGAAGTCCAAGTGTTGGAGGCCACTAAAGATCACTCAGATCCTAGTAAGGTCAGTGGCGCCGTTTGTGGGAAATCTTGCTTCCCCGTCTTTTTCCAAGCGTAAAGACCAAAGCAAACTCATCAACACCTACAAATCATCATGGATAACAAACACAACAATAACAGCGACGAGACTGTTCACTTCGCTGACGGTGTTAACCTCAACAACAACAAGACGGTTGGTCACGAGCAAGGTGACCTCTGGGACAGAGACACCGCCTCCTCTTAGACAAGAGAGCAGCCCATCGACAACCCTCACCGACAGGTCGAGGAGCCCGAAATGTATTAGGAAATCCATGTGTCTCCCAATGTTGATCCCACCATAGTGGCCCTGTTCGCGACCTTCAACCTGACCAACTACCTGATCTTCCAACAGAACAAGCGCATTAGAATGCTACAGAGGGGCTAAAGATCATGTTCTCCCCTGCAGAGACACCCAAGGAATGAGTCCCGGAGCCCCACTCCACAACCAACTAGGCGCCACCCTCAGTTGGAGAGGCAGCAGCCCACGACCATCAAGAAGCGTGACTTCACTCCTCCTCGTAGGGAACGACGATCCTTTCAACCTAAGAGGAACAAGGCTGACGGGTGGCCCAAGAAACTGAAAAGTCAACCGAGAAATGCACTGCACAATAGAGGCCATCCGTTTGATTCCTCCTTGTTGCGCTCACCAGGCCTAAGTAACAAAGATGATCCCCCGCGGTCCATTCACTCGGGAAATCATGGAGACCCCACTCCCTATCGGAATGGAGAAGCCACCACCTTTGGCGATTTACGACGAGCAACAGACCCCGACGATCATATCGAGAGCTTCGATGCGATGCTTAACTACCACAACATCGGGGGAGCTATCAAGTTCATGTTTTTCCTCACGACTCAGAGGAAAGGTGCCATGGAATGGTACAAAAGCCTCGCTCCATAGTCGGTCACCTCCTGAAGAGATCTGAAGACTGAGTTTACCAGGAACTTCATCGCCTCTCGACGACACCTCAAAACGGAGGTGTCCCTCGAGGTGATCATTTAGGGGAATGACGGATCCCTCCGAGCATATATTGAGCGGTTCAATCACGAGGCCATCCAAGTCCTCACGAATGACCGCATGAAGAGGTACCTTCTCGAGAAAGGGTCGCATCTTGGAAGCGAATTCAGGAAAGCAGTAAGGATCAAAACACCCTATTCACTAGACGAACTCCTCCGTAAGGCCCAGTCTTACATCTTATATGAAGAGAAAGAGGCGTCCAATAAAGCCCGAGACTCGAGGAACCGGGAGAGCACTAGACTCCCGAAGTATGACAATGTCGTGACTCCTCGACGAGGAGGGGAAAAAAGAAGAGATGAAAAACCTCACGACTCTCGTGAGCCTAGAGATTCAGTAGGCCGCTTTACTTAATAAACCCTACTTACCTATCCCCGGAGTGCATCCTCGCCGAGTGTATCAACTCTGAATTCAAGCAAGATGGTGTCCGGTTTCCCAAGCCCTCGCCCACCAAGTCGAACATCGACAAAACCAAGTACTGTCGTTTCCATAGGAGTCGCGACCATGTCACTGAAGATTGCGTCAACCTCAAAGATGCGATCGAAACACTCATCAAGGAAGGTCGTCTGAGGCAGTACTCCAAAAGGATCGAACTTCCCTGACAGGAGGTTCGCGAGACCAAGAGGGTCGATAAGGATACACCACCCTCTGACAATGCTCTCAATCTGCAGGTCGCCTTGTGCGTCTCTCGACCTGAAGATTTCTTCGTCCGTGAGGAAAATAACTTGTCGATCTCCACTCACAGTACCTAGGAAAAATTCCCCACCGCCATGATCATATACTGGGGGGGATTCGACAAGGTCACCGTCAGCTCAGAACACAACTCTCGACATGTTCAGAGGAAAATATGAACCCATAACCTTTTATCTCGAAGAACTTCTAGGTTGGGCACCTAACTCCAGCATCACTCTGCTAGTAAGGGCAAAGATGGCAAACTTTAACGTCCGCCAAATTATGGTCGATGAAGGGAGCTCCATCGACATAATGTATGCAAACTCGTTCACCACTCTCAATATTGACCATACTTACTTGACACCATACGTGGGCTCTGACCTACAAGGTTTTAATGGAACGACCTCCAGGCCTTGGGGTTACGCCAAGCAGATCGTCATCT